TCTATTTGCAATCAAGACTTTTCTGATTTGGTTCCATTAATATATCCTCCAGAATTAGAAATTAAAGAAACAACAGACACGCCTCAGTTTTAGACTTATACCTCGAATTTGACATAAGCGGTCATCTCAGTACCAGAATCTATGACAAACGAGACGATTATTAATTTTGAAATTATCAATTTCCCACACCTTAGTAGCAATATACCAACTTCACCTGCATATGGGATATTCATTTCCCAACTCATTCGGTATTCAAGAGCTTGCAGTTGCTACTCAGACTTTATAAAACGTCAGCAGTGTCTGAGCAGAAAATTGATGAACCAGGGTTATGTCAAAGAACGTCTAGTACTTTTTCGAAAAAAGTTCATCGGAAGATACCAAGACCTTGTTGATAAATATCCGTATCAACTTCACAAATAATACATGATGGTCTTGAAGTATAGATGCAAGGTACTACTGACGTTGTTTGTCATCTTAATTACGTGTTATAGTGTTCTTTTATTTGTCTTTGTAAATTATTAACCTTTACTGTTTAGTCCATTTTTTGTAATATCCTTTTAGCGTGGCTCGGTACTTATACATCCCACCATTGTGTTATTGTGAAATGGTCATTTTTTGTATTCTTATCTTTCCTTTTTGTTTATATGCTTTGTCTATATGCCTTTTTGTTTTTCTTTGTTGACATATTTGTTTTTTATAGTGATTAAGATTATAACACAATGTTGACTGCTGTGCCCCTATTTTTTGAAATTTATACCTTTTATGTCTGTTTATTTTGTTCACACATTGTTGTCAATATAATGGAATTTTATGCGACTGTCATACAAGTAAGAAGTTTAGCTAGCTATAAAACCAGGTTTAATCTACCATTTTCTACATGAGGACCTGTACCAAGTCAGGAATATGACAGTTGTTTTCCATTCGTTTGATGTGTTTGAGCTTTTAATTTTGCCATTTGAAAAGGGACTTTCCGTTTTGAATTTTCTTTGGAATTCGGTATTTTTGTACTTTCTACAGTTACAGCCAAACTTACTAACTAAATCTTTGCATCTATGAAAGAATTTGGTAAAGTTTTTAACTAATGTTGGTAACGAAATCACTGACTTAATAATTTACCAGTTATACATAAATAACGTTTATTGAAATATAAATGCGACTACAGACATGAGCATAGCGAACCTACAACGACACCGACAGATACATGTACCTTTAAGTTTTTTTAAAATCACCAATTTGATGTCCAACTAAATTCTGTATTCAGTGACAATACGATTCAATTTGTCGCTTCTAGTTTTCAGGCATTAAAGTTGATCTGAGGTCCCGTTAAAGTGACGAAAGATAACAAAGGGACATTCAAATGGTGTTATCAAAAAGATGGCGATTAGCGTAATTATATTTTATATCCCAGGAAAACACAGTCTTCTCGGGAATGTAGCGGACCTTCTCTACAAATTTGCTGCATCAATATATATTGTTTGCTCATCAGTCTGATCAACGGTCAACAAGTTCGTAATGGCGACCTTATGAAGGGATTACCTCAATCTTGGGACAACAAACCTCTGTTTGAGTCAACAGTTTGCTCTACAGAAAAATACGCTGTAATGGCATCAGGCTATACTTAAAGATAAACATACATGTAAAAAGTATTATGAGAGGGAGAAAGAGAGAAGTGGGGTCTACTGGCCCAAGATATAAAGAAATTTGCAAATTTTCTGATGACATCTTTAAGTTGTATTCTGGAATGGTCCTTCTTGGATAAAAAAAATAACATTAAAAATTTACATTGTCTTTCGTCCGTTGCTTTGCGGCAATGTTTGGTAATACACGCACCAGATGGATAACTGGTTCAACATAGATAACAGTGAAGGAACCTTTTGCCCCATTGGTGTCTCCTAATAGTGACAGCGCAACTTTTAACACTGTAGTGTTTACTGGCTATTCAAAGCAATTTTATCGGATGCTTCACCTAAATTCTATTCCAGAACAATGAACTGTTTTGTATTATTCTGTGAAACACATGCTAAATGCAAACCATTTCCATATTTCTATACAATGGTCTGGATTGGAGTTCTTCATTTCTGTATTCTAAAAATTGTTAGGCCACTTCTTCCATTCTTTATTTTTGTGTCCATTATTCTCTATTCTTTATACTGAAACACCCCTTTATTCTCCATTTTATACTTAAAGGACAAAATTTAAAGAAAAGAAAATAAGGAGATTCCTCTTATTTTCTATTCCTTAAATTTTGTCCTTTTTTTTTCTCTTTTCTCATTTTTTTTGGGGGGTCCTATATTCTCTATTTTTTACCAGTATTCTCTATTCTCTAAAACCCATCTTTACTCTCGTACATGTATAAACTTTTACTTATTTTATTGCTCATTTATTTTTAAGAAACTATTGTCCATCAACAATCGTCTATTATATTTTAGCTTTAAGTTTTGTCCAGAAATCTTATATTTTTAATCAAACATATTGAGTCTCTATCGTGTGTCAATGTTAATATAGACTAACAACAAACACTTAAAGCTATGTTTGCGTTAGCTTTCTATAACTCTTTTCCGAGTATTTGAGATAGTGGCTAAACGTGGTTCTGGTCCAAATAAGGTGATACCGGTTGGTGACATCATTTATTTGATCATGACAAAGATACTTAGAGAGGTATTTCTTTAACAGTCCCAAAATTATAAACTCAGTGATCTACATCGAACATTTTTTTTATTATACCCCTAATAGTGCTAAAATGAGGCCAATCCAGCTAAATATTTGTAACTATCAGGGTCACTGAAAATGAAGGTACTCGAATATCACCAAAGGTCTTGCACAAATGTTTTAGTTTAGTAATAAATTTTGAAATAGATTTCCCACACTAGTAATATACGCATGTTTACCGACATTTTCTTCCATCCAAACGTTATTGTATGCTATCAGATGATTATTTTTTGGTAAAAATTAAAAACTTAATAAGACATGTAGTAGGATGGGACGGAGCGAGAAAGAAAAACTTCACAGACAACTTACAATTGAGCAAAAGGAACAACCCCCTCCTAAAACCGGAGGTGATGTATGGTGATCCGAATTGATAAGCAGTCTCCACTAGTCGAACACAAATAAAAAAAGATAAAGAAAGAAAATTTGGAAAAATTATCTCAACAATCAAAACCGACTCTAGCGACGATGCGAATTAGATTAGAGTACTAAAAATTCGAAAAATCCGGTAGAGTATTAAAATCTAAGTTCATCTCCTCATGCAACAGTATAACAAAACATTTCATGTGCTTATACTTTGAATGTATAATTCTCTGTACCTTCCAATAATGTAGCAATAGGTATTCGCCATATGTAGCAATATTACAGTGTCTGTATAGGGTTTACATAAGAATAGGGGGGATAAAGAAATAAGAAAAATGACTTTACAATTAAATAGTGAATAATGGGGGGCTAAAATGGAGAGAAATGGCATAGAATTAAAGAATTCAGAATTGAAAAACCCCTTCCAATCTAGACTCCCTTGAAAAGTAAAATTAATAAAACATATAACATATACTGACACTAATTCATAAACATTTTATTAATAAGCTACTTTCATATTCATTTTCAAAGTTCTTATTTCTTCTTGTCTTTCCTAAACACCACTTTTTCCAATCCCATCATTGGTGATTCAAATATCAGTGAGGCCACAAATGCAACTGCATAAGCCATCCCAAGATGTGCAAAAAATTCGTATATCTAAGAGAAGAAGAAAAAACAAAAATAAATGAATTTATCAAATATATTAACATATAAATAACCTTAAAGATGCATCGTTCTTAGTTTTTGCGTTGTCTGTGAACTCAAATACCATAATTATGCGTTTGTGCACTGTTACAATTGCATAAGAGTTTGTGATATATCAATGGATTTTAAAATATTTGAGATATATATGCTACAACAGTGATAAAGATATCATAAGATTGTCAAAACTTTGTCTTAGTTTTAAAAACATATACAGGGTTTTATTGTGGAAGTATGATTCCATTTTTAAGAATTTAATCAAATGTGGTATTTCGCACCTAGCTCTGAACGGTTGTAACACCCATATGTAAACAATTGTCCTTCTATAATTGTTATGTTTGACTGAATAGATTAATTGATAAAGGTTGTAAATGTATTGACGTTGTTCAATAACTGTGCTTCGTATTGTTGGGATTAACTTCTAAATGTGACCATATAGTTTGAATCCGTGAAGACAAAAACAATCATACATGTTTCAAATATACATTGATTTTATGAGCAAATTCTGGCCATTGCACAAGATAATGTCTTCCTGTACTTTTTATGTTACTGTATGATATCTACTCCGACGAACAGCCTGTAAGTTTAAAGTGCAGGACGGCATGATTTCGTTTAGGCAGGGTAAGGTCTTTGAGCTTGATGTCAGAAGCTGAAATAATTCTTTGATACAGTATTATGTGTCACTAATTTGCTTGGTTCTGTGTTTTACTGCATATAATACCTTTATAGAGTTAAGTGTTTGTTCGGCTTGTTTGTATTGCACGTTCTCGTATGTACCTTTAGTAATCCCCGCCTTGTTCATGTGCAAATACTGGTCCAAAATAATGAAACTCGCCAGCAGTTGTATATATTATTATTATAATAATTTTGTCTTTTTGATTGAGTTGCTGGCGTGACTTTGGAAATATCAATTTATTGAATTGATGGCGTGTCTTTGATAATATCAATTTATTGAGGACTTTCATATAGTTATAATTGTATAGACACGTGTATATTGTTAAAGACTGCATATGTTGAACTCCTTCTTGTCTCTTAATTTTGTGTCATTTTGGTTTTACTTGACTCTTTAACATACTCCCCGCATCTTTTAAATTCATACTAATGACGGCATATCTTGAAAAGTGCTTTGAACATATAACAATAGTGTTGACTTTTAACGAAACTGATGATTCAGCAACATAACTGATATTGTTCAAATTGAATATCTTGTTTGAAACTATCAGCCTTACCACTTCATGATCATCCCAAAATAAAAACTGTTTTCGTGATTGGTAGTAAAAGTACATAACAAGTGGATGTATCAGGTAGGCACAGTATGTTAGTCTAGACAAAGGTACAAATCCTCTCCAGGACAAAATTGTATTTACGAAACCTGAAATAAAGACATGCATTGATAAATTGTGTCTTACATTCTCAAGAAAGATTCTGAAAAATATGATTTATTAAAATATATTGTACAATTTGAAGTGTTTGGCTAAACATATCAATATCTTAAAGATTAAGTGTACTGTAACATTTTTGTGTCGTGTTTTGTTTCCTTTGTTTAAATAGTTTGAAGCTAAACTGTTCTGATTTTTGGACAAAGATTTCTTTCGAACCATCTTATGACCTTTACTATCGACCAGATATTAACTTCTACTCTTATCGACTCTTACATTTACCATGTTGTTTGTGTACATTAAGGAACAACTACGTTTCTTCAGATTAATTTTTCCGAAATGTTTCTTCTCAAAATGCGAGACCCTCATGGGTTGAACTTGAACACCCCTGTAATGGTTCATCATTATTTGGGGACATCAATACCTTTCTCATCCCTTCATGAAATTTTACGAACATAGACAGTAGCTTCTTTAAAATAAAAAAAAATAGTATCAGAAGCAGAATTTTCCAAATTCTTATTTTTTTTATTTTTTCCGATTTTACTGATAAATGGACTTATTTTTCTGCAGTTAATGTGTACATACAAGGGTTTAAAGTTTTAACGCATTGATAAATTATTAAAACCTTCGTGGTACTTTACGAAACTTCGACAGAAGCTTCTTGGTGATCAAAATTTGAGGAATTATCCAGAGCAACATTTTGAAAATATTGAAGTTTTTTTTCCACATGTTTCCGTATTTTATCGATCTTGCTCACACTGCCAGAGTATCCACGCCTGTTGTAATAAATGTTATTTTGATCTTTTGATAGTTTCAGGTGATATGAATTATTTCGTTCTTGTCCGATTGATTTGTTTAGCGACAGACTATTAGAACATCTATTTGTGTTTTATTTAAGGTCTTGAATAATCCCTTGACAATTGCAACTGCTCTAAATTATTACATGTACTGTTTTTAATCAGTGACACACTTATGGTGTTTACATATACTAAGAAACTTACCTCCATTTCCAGTAGCACATGCAAATATCACCCAACAGACAGCAGCACCCCAGACTGTTTTGTGTAAGACATTGTACAGTGCGGCAACACCTGTAGATAACTGATCACCATTTATATCGTCATATACACCATAAAGTACAGCTAATGCTGACGCAGCAAACACCGCCCATATAGTTATATTTACAAACTGAAACAAAGAATGCAGTATATATAAGTATAGAGCAGTAATGTGCAGCTTTATTTGATGATTGATAAAACTGCGCATGGCCTATTTCTGTAGGTTTTATGAAATAACATTGAATGGCACCAATTTTACTGCATTAGATGCCCAATTCGACAAGTAAAATATATTCAGTGATTGTTCAAACCGTTGACGGGTCGATGTGTAATCATAGAGTTAAATGAAACATATACTTATCTTTAGAGGAAAACTTCAGAAGTTTAATCACAATGTAGTCCCTTTATTACAATAAAAACTCTAATCTCTTAACAATTTGAACCAGAAAAAAGACCAAGGAATCTGTCAAGGTTTAAAAATATGCAAATATATTTTCTGTTGATTTAAAAAGGCCATTGACTACATTGTTTAATACTTTACCTGAGGGAGTTAGATTGGTCCTTAATTTTGCGTTCTTTCTTTTTATCCCTGTTTTTATTAACACTAATAGCAATCTTGATGTCCCGAGCATCACTGAAGAGACATTAATTGTCGAATAACATTTGCGGTACCAATTATTGTCAAAATGCGCATCTGGTGCAGTAAAACTAGTACCGTTAATGTTATTTAAAACAAACGATATGTGTTGAAATGATTTTAAAACAGGAATATCCTCCATGTAAATGTAAATAGAAAGCTTATAACTAGACAGCAAGTTTCTTCGGGTTAACTTGTGAAATGGTCTTGTTAATGCGTTGTGAACTTAAAAACATGAAGTAAACGTGACTTTACTGCATAAACTCGCAACGAATATTTGGTTTTATTTCAGTATAAATTGCTTGTTCTTTGTACACAATTACACACATATGTAAAATTCAAAGTAGACATTGCACAAACTAAATCCCATTCTAATGTGGAGTTTAGGTTATGTTAGGCTTCGCCTTTCCCAGTCTGTACCCACAAAAACTGGGGGACAGTAATTTACCGATATTCAATTATCGTAAATCGATTAGTAAGAGACAAATCAAGGCAACAAACAAAATCGAAAAGGAGCGAGACCAATCTGTACACGGACTAGCCTATATTATTAGCACACATCATAAGCATTTGTTTTGTGACATGATATCATCACCAGGATTGTAATATTTCCATATAAGCATATTGTGTTAATCCGTTTTTCATTCCAAAAAATATATGCTACCATGGAAAAAGTATTACTGTTGTGGTGTAATTGAAATTTTAATTGCCTCTATCCTCAAACTGTCTTACCTTATTTATTTTACATTTGCATTTCGTTGTGTAAAGAATGTAGCCTGTGTACATTCCAACCAGGTATGGTCCAATTCGACAGTACGGCATTTGATAATAAGCATCAAAATAGTCACCTCCACTGAAAAAGTATACATAAAGTTGATAAAATTAGATTGTTTATATTATCACGACAGGTATTTAGAAATATATCAAGGAAGCTTATAAACTAAGAGTTCCAATTGGTGAAATTGAAATCATTCCTTCAAAATTTGTATGGACGTCATCACGAGTTGGTTGACCATTATAAGTTATATGGTTCGCTACTGACCCCCTACGGATCCATAGAGGGTTAGTAAAATCCATCCTCTATGGATTTTATTCACCCTCTATGGTCCGTAGGGGGTCAGAAGTGAACTGTATAACGAATTTATCGCAAGCGGGACTTTTTCTGCAGTGTTTTGTAGAAATATAAACCATACCTGGTTGGAATGTACACCTGAGATCCCCCCCCCCCCCCCCCCGTTTTTCGGTGAGATTCGTGTTGTTCAGTCTTCAGTTTTCTATGTTGTATTTTGTATACTGTTGTTTGTCTTATGGTGGTTTTTCGTTTTTTGTAATGGCATTGTCGGTTCGTTTTTGACTTATGAGTTTAATTATACCTTTGGTATATATCGCCTCTCTTTTACAGCGTTCGTGAGATATATTAACGATTCGGGAATAGTAATGCAGTATTGAAATGGTACACTAGTAAATGAATTTTAGTCTGTTTCGGCCATTTTGATCTAAACATTATCTGAAAAATTTTGAACTTGAAATGTCTCGATAAGGGTTTAATATTTTTTCAGATATTTCTTCTTGTAAATTCAGAACTGTTTCAACATTTGGTTTGCAGTCAGTCCATTTCTGTTCTTTCGGTTTTCCAATAATCCATTATGTGGTCGAAACAGTCCTAAATTAACTGCAGTGGATAAGTTTCAAAATTAAATGAAAGATTGAAATGACAAAATAATTTATTGTTCAATTTTTTTCAAGAGCTGTTCAGATCAAAATTGCAAATTAAGTTCAAAATTGGTGTACTGGTGTTGCTACTTTATGAGTTTGAATGTCCCTCTGGTATCTTTCGTCCCTCTTTTTGGGGCGTCTTGGCTGGTATTAATACCACTTATGAGGATTCATGGACTGCGAAAAGTTCTTTGACTAAATTATAATATTTGAACTGTAGATATGTAGACCATGGATGACCAATGCATTCAAAGTAGACGTTAAAAGACTTACAAAAGTCATCTTTACATGAAGGAGTTTCAGCCTTAGATATTTAGTAGGGGAAAATATCTTTTTAAGTTTGTTTTGGAAACGTAAAAATTGTCAGTTATACGCTTCTGTGAGACACAATGAGCGACAAAAAATATTATCAAAAAGGCTTTCTGCTACAAAATGGTTGATTAAATCTGAATGTGATCTGAAAATCCTGTATATCAAAATGTTTTTTCTAAGATGTCAGGAAATTGTGTAAATATTTCCTTGCTGTAGATTCAGGAGTGTACAATTATTTCCTGAACATAAATTATGTGTTCAACTATACCGCTTGCATAAAATTGAGAATGGAAATGGGGAATATGTCAAAGAGACAACAACCCGACCAAAGAGCAGACAACAGTCACCCGACCAAAGAGCAGACAACAACGCTTGCAGTCTATTCAGTAGTTCTATTCGGTTATTTCTTGGGGATAATTCAATGCAGATACTTTGGTTGCTCAAATAAACGGAATGTTTTTCCGTTTATAAAATATAAATTGAAAAAGGTCATAAGTTCCTTTATCACAAGTGAAAAAAAAAATCTAAATATTCACCTAAATGGATTTACACGAAGGTCCTTCTGCACAGATATAACTGCTGTTGATATGGCTGTTCCTACCCATAATACGAGAGTAACAATAGTCCCAGCTATTTTAGAACTGAAAATAAAGGATGAATTTTGCAAACATTTTTAACGACTAGTTTTACTAAATATGTGTCAAGATATAGCTTTATATTAAGTTAATTGATATAATGATGATATCTAGAAGTTATATGGGATATTCCTAATGTTTATTAACTTTAGCATCCTCATTTTTCTGCTGTTGTCATGTTTATAATATTTGTGGGCAAAGTAAACGCTATGTAGAAAAAGCGATCACTTTTGTTTGAATTTCAGGTTATACGAACTATATATGTTTTAATTGAAAAAAAAAGAAATAATTTTGTAGGTTTGTAATTTTCAGTTGATTACCACTCATCTTTATGCTAAGAATGAGTTATTAAAACATAGTTAAACAAGCAACAACCATGCAATCATACTAGTACTTCTGTTTTGTTGTAGTTATTTTCATATTGTTTGTCGGTAACAATCACCGATTGTCTGATGTATTTTTGGTTTTAAATGATATAATTGTGTTCTAGTATTTGCAATTCCTATCGAATTAGTATTGTCAAATGTCCAAAGAGCGAATCTATTTCAGAACTACGTTGTATTTACGTAATGGGTTATTTTCTTTTGTTTTCGATCTTAAAAGCTATGTTTTCCAACAGAGTTATGAGGAAGAACGAATGAAATGGACACTTCATATGTTTAACGGCCACCACCACGAATTTTCTGACCAATACAATGTGTAGGTGTCTTAACTCACTAGCCACATAGTTTCGCGGTCTTAGATATTTAGATACCACCATAGTCGTCTAATCTGTAATTTTACCGATTGTGTTCTATTTCCGATTGTGAAATTTTGACTGAGAGTGGATTTACATGGCAGGTGATGCATACATATCAGGAGTCGCTTATCCTGTCGAAGGACCCGATCTCGCTCCTTTTGGAGTTAATGCCATTCCCTCAGTTTTTGTTTGTTACCTTGATTTGTCTCTTCGTTATCGATTTACTAGCTTTGAACATCGGTAAACTACTGTCGCCTTAATTTATTATCTTTCTTTTAAGATTTGAGGACTTTTTTTTTGGAGAGGTGTACAACTGTTATGTGGTTGGTCAACTTATTGAAAACTCATGGTCACATGCTTAATACTCGTAAATATTTGATTGCGTCATTGGACTGTTGATGCTATGTTTTAGAAATGAAATGGAGATTCGGGATCCACGGGTGGTCTCTGTTTTGCAGCTTCAATTAGTTCCTATAAACATGTGGTATACCAATAAACCCTATAAGCCCACCAAAGATTAGAGACAAACATGATACCAATTACAGTGGTTAGTACTCGATAAAAAAAACCCCACCCTATGTACAAATGCACGGCAGGAACAATACAGGTATTAACAAAAGCGAGGAAAGTTGCGTATCATTGAAAACCATTAAAGAAGTTTAAAAATAAGGAAAATTAGATGTGATATCAAATAATATGTACTTACTGATAAAGAGCAAGCAGAATAGGTGGACTTATAACATAAAACTGCATATCATTTGCCAAGTACCAAGCATGGGCAAAACACTGAAATGTTGAATACAATACAATTTTTTGTCTTAACTGCATTTGTATTTAAACACTCTTATTATGAATTATTTAAAATTTTTATAATAATATATATTTCAATATTGAATATATATATCATAAAATGTGATATGCTATTTTAATATTCCTGTTGTTATGTCTACAAAAGTATTCGTATTCATAAGACTAGCAAAATTAAGTATCAACATTTTATGGCAGTTTTATTCACTGATGCATAAATAAAGTTTTATCAATTTTATCTGTAATAATATATACGTATATATCTATCAACAAACTTGGAATTTTGATTTCAGTATATTTCAACTAGGCCTTTTGAAGGTAAGGTGTAAGATAATATAGGTATTAATGAAGGATACGTTTTGACAACAACAATATTTTAATATTCTTTACAAATTGACAAAATATATCCCTCTTTAACATATTTAAGTTTTAAAGATGATGTACGTGATGTTCTGGCCTGTCTATATGAGGGTAAGCTAAATAAATGGTAACAAATCGACTTGATAAATAAGTTCCTTCAGTGGCATTTTATTACAATCTTAAAAGATCAGTGAATGAAATTGTGTAAACAAATTGATTATGCTTTTCGTTGTTTTAGACGATATATATTCTAGATTGACAAAAAATTATGATATCTACTTGGGGATTTGGTCCATAATATCAGATGATGACTTGAATTTTTAGATATGTTCTACTTTTTTCATCATGTTATCAGTTAGACTGAAGGGATAAGACCACAAACGTTTTCTTGACTTTTTTTTCCATTTTAATCTTTGTGATCATATAAATTTTGTTCATTTAAGTGTTGATACACAGAACAATTAACCTAGTTTGTCTTCGCAAGCGGAACATATGTTATTGTGAGCGCTTGTAGTGAACACTAAATCCTTATTCAAATATGATAGATGAAGTCTCGTAGTTTTCATGTAATGTCGTTTAGAAAAGAATGCTTGAAAATTCTTCCGTTGACGATGGTTTACTTGTATTCACAACGTTTCTAGACTCGGACGAATTATACAGTAAGAGCCAGACACATTGCATATACACTGGTCGGTCTACTGTTGATGACCGCATGTTGACCTATAGAAGTCTTAGGATTTTTGTTTGTCTTTTGGTTGCGTGTTCGTGGACCTATACCACACATCTCCATTACTTTCGTTCAACCCAATCTCACCCCATCCAATCTCAAAATTAATAAATTTACCTCTTCTGCACTTGTCTTGAAATTATTAATGTATAATAGATTCCACCACCACGTATCTTTACAGTACTTCTTTTCGAAGCCATCGGTTGACCACATGGGTCCGCTTCCCAGATATTTAGAGATACATATCTGCACCATCATAATTAGCATATATGGAGGGGTTAACCTGTTATACGGTAAAAAAAATTGATCTCTTGTTGACAACATCAGTTGATCAAATGTATGTTTTAAAAAGATTTAAGTGTTGTACATACTATGTTATTGAATTAATATATTCCAACAGTACATTGCCGCGATATATCCTTTTTACTCTGATGCGGCGCAAAGCAGTCACCAATCAATCAATCAATCACAAACAGTACATGTACAAAAAACATAATAACCACAATAATAATGATGGCAATAACATGACTAAATATACATACATCGAAACAACTTTTTTGAAAGGTTTACGGTCACCATCTCTAAGATTTTGTAATACCAGAATGGACGTCAGACCTGTAAATTACCGATTGTGTCCTATTCCCGATTATCACATTCTGACTGATTGTCAATTTGTATGACGGATAATGCAAACATATAACCTGTAAAAGTTAAAGAGCGGAAACGATTTTTGTACATATGCACAGGAAAAGCTAAGTTGAACTGAGCTTTTGACCCTGAATTTCAATATACATTTATCTTCCTCGTACGCGACACATCTTCTTGTATTGGTGAATAATCTACCAACTTTTAAAATCAAATTCCAAGGGCTTTTAAAATTGTAGAACGAAACGATTTATTTTTAAAATGTGCACAACTTATAGTTTTTGACAATGACTTTCAATGTACGGATTTCTGCCATGTACGAGACATGCCTTGCAATAGTGGACTGGTGAGTAATCCTGTCAATTTCCTTTTATGAACTCAAATGGGCTTTAATGGTAGAAAGCAAAAACAATGTGTGACGGACAGAATGATGAACGGACGGACGGACAGATAGACACACTTTGTATTGTAGGTCTCCTTCGATTAAGAACAAACAATAAAATTCATTATATTCAATGAAAAATGCATTTATCACCAACATTCGATCACAAATTATCATACTATGCAAATATATAATAAAATATTTAATTGTGGTACCTTCAAAACAATCAATATATGTATGTCTACATATACCATTTAATTTAGATGTATTACTTAGTGAGAAATATTAGTAAATATGCTTGGCAATCAGTAAATGAGCATAAACTTCCAAACGATCATATGATTTTTTGAGTTGACGGATAAAACATTTGATGTTATTTCTTACCTCCAAAACCGATGAAAATAAAACATAAACCAATTCAGTCTGCCTTTTTGCTTCTTCAGTTGATTTAGAACTACGTATGTTAGTAAGGTACCACTAAAATAATGTAAATGTACTAAATGTAATTACAGATCTTTTTTCAACTAAACTGACACTTTTAAGAAAATGAAACATTCAAGTTGGAATAAATGTCCTAAGCTTGTTTCATTTTTATTAATGGCATTCGTGTCTTTTTGAAGCATGCACTGTACATTTTTTCTTTATTTTTGCAATGATTCATTTGTCGATTTACACAGATGACGACGGAATTGTTCTAATTGTCGTAACCACAGTCGCGTCATCTTTTCCTCGAATGAGACCTACCGAAATAAATTTATAACTGGGTTTGTACTTACATGAGCAATGCGAAGGGTGTCACTAGTGGAACAGGATCTGATTACCCTTCCAGAGCACCTGAGATCACCCTCGGTTTTTAGTGTCGCTTGTGTTGCTTAGTCCGTAGTTTTCTATGTTGTGATTTGTTTATTGTTGTTTGTCCTTTGGTCGTTTTTCGGTTTTTGCAAAAGCATTTTCATCTTATGAGTTTGACTATCCATTTTGTATCTGTCGCCTCTCTTTTACACCTGGTTTCAATGATTTTAAAATTACAAACAAAGTCACTTTGGTATTCAAATAGTAATATTATTTTATATGTTTGTTGTTTAAATATTTTGCTTTTTTATTGTTTCCCCCATCTTATCTTATTAATTATTTCTACATTCATTTTGAGATACCTTACGTACCTTAAAGCGAAGAAGGTATCTACTGATACCTCAGCATTGATAATGGCCATGAAGGTTTTTCTCTTTATCAGTGCTCCATAAAGCGTACCAATATTACCTTAATTGCGAGCAATGATAATACATCTGTATTATTACAATTAGATAAAGATGGGTAACATGATAAAAGATATCATTCAAATAGGAAAAGTAATAACTTCAGGATAATTTGAAAAAAAGTTTTTTTTCTATGAAATATATAGCAGCGTTATTTTCGTGGTGTCAAACACTTTTGATCTCCGACTCTATCATAACATTTATTACATCGGTGGAAAATTGGACGATTCCCGTGTAATGTATCTGATTAATATACACTTGTGTAAATCTCAACAACAAAACAAGTGCCTTTTTTTTTTGGTTTTAGCAGAAAACAAATGCTTCTATCATATAAAATATGAACGTGAAGCAACTATGTTATGCTAAAACAATTTAGATTATAATTATAATGATAATATGTATTTGCTAATTTAAAACTTCTCAGTTTATGGTGAGACACATAACAAGGGAAATAAAATAACTGAAGACTATAATGGGAAATAAATATAGATAAAAGGAACAGCAATTTTATTTTCATCTTGAAAGTTGGTTGAAGGTCTTATCCAACGTTGGATTATCATTTCAAATGTCAATAATAAGGGAAAACAGACCAGTTTGTGTATTTTGTGTATTTTATGTTAGACGTTTATATATGTATATAAGTCTGAAAATTAAACCCAACAGTGTAAGAATTAGATTTTTATGCTGACAATATATATATATGTGTTGGTTTTCTCGTTTGAATGGTTTTACACTTTTATTTTCAATCTTATCTAGATTGTGGAACATAAAAATCCCGTGAAACAAGTTGTTGGAGTTTATGTTATAGGTTTAACAAAGAGATGTGGTATCTTTAAGCACCTGTCCTAAGTCAGGAGCCAGTTGTTCAGTGGTTGTCGTTTGTTGGTGTGGTTCATAAGTGTTTCTCGTTTTTTATGTAGATTAATTAGACCGTTGGTTTTCCTGTTTGAATTGTTTTACACTAGTCATTTTGGGGCCCTTTATAGCTTGCTGTGTGGTGTGAGCCAAAGCTCCGTGTTGAAGACCGTACTTTGACCTATAATGCTTTACTTTTATAAATTGTGACTTGGATGGAGAGTTGTCTCATTGGCACTCATACCACATCTTCTTATACCTACAACTAGAAACTTACCTACTGAGTACAAGCCAAACGCGTATGTGTGTCCTAGAATAACCCAACTCATGCTGATAAACCGTATACCGTTGACAGCGGTTAGCGTGCCAGAACCTTGGTTTGTACTCAATATCTTAGCTCCATTTGTGTAAACAGAAAATGACAGCAGTAACTTTCCAAGAAATCCTGAAACACATTAAGTACAAAAATGCTGAATTTATATTTTTTTGTGTAAGGACGCCATAGAGTGTTGAAATCGCTAAAATGCAACTGTCATAAACTAAGAATGATGGTTACAAATAGTCAGGAAGGAATAGATGACGAGCTAAGACAAGAACAAGCGGACTTCAGAAGGGGGAAAAGCACTACCGAACAACTCTTCACTTTGAACAATGTTCTGAATTGTATGCTCCTTTATACAGTTTGTACATCAACTTTGTAGACTTTGAAAAGTTGTTTGATTCCATCCACAGGGAAAGCTTATGGTTCATCTTAAAAGCTTACCACATCCCAGACAAACTCATCACAATTTTAAAACTATTTTACGATTCATTTGAGTTTGCAGTCATAGACGAAGGAATACAGTCGGAATGGTTTAAAGTAAAAACAGGAGTAAAACAAGGATACATGATGTCTGGCTTTTTATTTTTGTTAGCCATTGACCATGTCATGAAGCAAACAATTGGATGTCGATACCTTCACTTACCTAGGAGGAATAGTTACAGCAAAGGGTGGCTGTGACAATGACATGGACAACAGGTTCAAGAAAGTTAAAGGCCAATTCAGCAGGTTAAGAAAAATATGGAGATCACCAGTACTGTCATTTAAAACAAAGGTTAGGTTATTTAACAGCTTAGTCATATCAGTCCTACTGTATGGATGTGAAACCTGGAAAACAACTGAACAAGACAAAAAGAAATTGAACACCTTCCAAAATAGATGTCCGAGACAGATACTGAAAATAAGGTGGCCCAATACTTTATTAAACGAAAACTTCCACATAAGAGCTGGAACAAAGAAGCTAAGTGATGACATAATAGAACGGCATTGGAGATGGATTGGCCATGTACTAAGGATGGATACCAACAGTATATGTTCAGTTGCACTGACATTGAAACCAGAGGGAAAAAGGAAAGTTGGACGTCCCAAAACCACCTGGAGACGGACTGTAGAGACAGAACGAACATCACTCGGATGGAACAGCTGGGCTACAACAAGAACAGCAGCTAAAGACCTTGTGAAATGGAAAAAATGTATCAGAGCCTTAAATGCCGACCGGCATGAAGAGGATAGGTGAGGTGAGGTGAGGTTTTTTTCTTACTGACCAAGTGCTTACTCGGAAAAAAGAATTAATGAAAAAAATATGAAGATGTCAAAAAAGAAGTAATTTTCTTTTTTACACTTTTCAAAAGATAATCAAACCAAAATAATGAAAAGTAAATATAACAAACTACACTGTGCATTGTTGCTTTTCAAGGACAACAGTCATTCTGTAATATTTTATCCGTTTGTTGGGGTGAGCGAAACACAAATCAGGTCTACCAAATAAGTATAGATGACATCGTTGTTATTTTTAACGATCTTTAATAGATAGGTTGTGTTTATATATAAATTGACTAAAATGATTAAAAAAAAGAATAGTTCGTTACCATTTAAAATAAGGGGGAAATTAATTGTAGCATTGAGTTTCAGTGAAATTTCTTGTTCGTGTATGTTTTTGAAAACAAAACAAAAATGCGTTTTTTTTTTATTAAAGTCGGGAGCAAAACTGTTTCTCACGAGAAAAAACCCTCAAAGATGAATGGTCGGTACCTAAGGAAATACTATACCTGGTTCATGTGGTTTGTACTGAGTTGTGGACGGATCTTCAACTGACATTGACCTATCCGGCTCTTTAAATTGATATTTGTGCTTTTGGCCAGATAAATCGCTGATTGGTCCATTTTTTTCGCCTTCATATCCGTTATTAACATGCCCATTACCCGCTGAATCATATGTCGTGGCATGTCCATCGAAAAGATCCCAACTGTTTTTCTTTGGTTTAGACATGTGTTGAATAATAATATCGTACGTGGTAGCTATGATCGCAAGTCCAACAAGTACACCTATTATAATGCTACAAAGAAAACGGTTCCATATTAACATAATCACAATAAATTATTAGTATGCAATGTCTTCATGCCAACTTATAAACCACGTAATACTTATTCTTCGTCTACAACACATGTTTATCAAATAGAATTGAGAATGGAAACGGGGATTGTGTCAAAGAGACAACAACCCGACCAAGGAGCAGAAAACAGCCCAATACAAAAAGCAACTGTACCAATCCTGAACAATTAAAAGTCTTTATAAATATAAATCTAAGGATATGTACCATACTGTATAGTCGGTAATAAAAGGTCCAGACATGAAAAAAAAATGCGAAAAAATTCAAACGAGAAACTTTTGATTTTTCATTAAATAGTCCGTAATACGTATTACAAAAATGTTTGGAAAGCCAAAAATGTAAATCATGTTTTAGTCCGCCCATTCTTTATGTGGCTGTCCCAAGTCAAAAGACTGTATTTCAGTGGTTGCTGTTGTTTATTGTCTGTCATATTTGTCGTTTATTGTTTTCGCATAGGTCAGGCCTTTGGTTTTATCGTTTGAAGTTTTTCTAATTTTGACATGTCGGGCATTTTTATAGCTTACTATACGGTATTGGGTTTGCTCATTGTTTAAGGCCGTACGGTGACCTATAGTTGCTTATATCCATATCATTTGGTATCAAGAATTTGTTGTCTCCTTATGTAACACAAAATGTTATTATAATTTCAAAACTGAAACAAATAATGAAGCATTTAAAACGCGTGTTTTGAAACTCCTGATACAATGTATATCGGTTCAAAAATACATATCAAAAAAGGTAAAAATGTATAAAATTAATCTTTAAGATATTTATGTACTTCTAAAACAAGCATAAAAGTGTCCAAAAAAGATTAAAAAAATTTTAAAAAAAACATTTGAAAAATTTCAAAAACTTACAATGCTATTCTTGCTCTAAAATCAATAGGTTGGTCAGGTTTCTTGCAATCTCCACCAGTAGCAAATACTGTGTTATTTGAAATCCTAGGTAAAACTGAAAACAAGTACAAAAGCTATATAGTGATATTGTAAATGAAGTTTAGTATGTTTACGATGCTACACATCTTATAACTACGTAAAGGATACCATTTTATCTGAGAAGCAATGTGTTTAACAAGTGGAACATTAACTGCTTACCATAGCGACAACCTCATGGATGCCATGGTAGCGTAATCGTCCCGAGTAAAGGTGGAAGTAGATTTGACTCCCGGCCATGTCAAACCAAAGTCTTAAAAATAAGTATCTTATAAATAAGAAGATGTGGTATGAGTGCCAATGAGACAACTCTCCATCCAAGTCACAATGTATACAAAGCTAACAATTATAGGTCAAAGTACGGCCTTTAACTCGGAGCATTGGCTCACACCGAACAGCAAGCTATAAAGGGCCCCAAAATGACTAGTGTTAAACAATTCAAACAGGAAAACCAACGGTCTAATCTATATAAAAAACGAGAAACGAGAAAAACCTATGAACCACACCAACAAACGGCAACCACTGAACAGTGGCTCCTGACTTAGGACAGGTGCATAAAAATGCAGCAGGTTTAAACGTTTAACAGGCGCCACCCTTCACCCTAACCTGAGACAGTAGTGTAACATTACAACAAGACACATTATAAAATACCAATTGAAATAGCTTAACTCGATCAAAAAGACATTTAAACAAAAACAAGTAAACATACACTGAACGAATAAGTTTGATCTATGACACAATATAAATACAATATTAAAACGTATGTGCCTATATATTATACAGGCACCTACAATATATAGGCATCTACGTTTTAATATTGTATTTAGACGTTACAGGTAGTAATAAAAAAGATGTAGGAAGAGTGTCAATAAGACAAAAAAAAAACTCTTACCTGGGACAAAATGGCGTTTTAAAAATAAAACAATGTACACAGGTAAATTTAAATATAATAATTTTGTTGTTAGGAGTACAGAAGTAAACATTTTTTACAAAATTAATAAATTTGTTTTCAGAGTTCGAGTACAGAAGTGAAAATTTATCGTTATACTAAATATATGGTACATATTAAAAATAGTGAGACGAGATATAACACAAAATAAGTAAACATTGAATTACAGAAATGCATTACAAATTGTGTCAACAAGTCAAATTAACACGAAAGTACAATTTGAGAGTACTCGCAATTACTGAAAGCTAGTTAAAAGCCAAAAACAATTATTAATAAAAAATCATGCATCAGAGACTATAATCAATTAAAACACATTCGATGAGTTTACACGGATCACATAGTGATATCCGCGCTTTAAGTACAATATTACCGTAAAATTTAGGATGTGAAATACCGTTTTTGATAAGTTTTCTACAAGTACAGCCAAATTTACTAATCAAATCTTTGTATCTATGGAAGAATTTAGTAAATGTTTTAAGTAATTTATGGTAACGAAATCCCTGACTTAATAATTTACCAATGATACATTGATTACGTTCGTTAAAATCTATGATATCACTACACACACGGGCATAACGAACGAGTTGGGATATATAAACACCGTATGATGGAGCCAAAGGAACATCGCCGTTAAAAAAGGAAAATTAACAGTAGGGAATGAAAAATCATCTTTTTGTCGTAAATTTTAGTATGGAGTTTTTCTTCAGAAATTGAAATGTCTAAATCTAGAAAAGGACAACTACTGCTGTTTATGTTAGATTTATCTAAAGTAAGTTCCTTTGGGTAAATTTCGGTAGTATATTAAGAAAACTCTGGATTATTTAACGAAAAATATCATCAAGATAAAGGTAGGTATTGTTGAATGTGTCAACCAAATGTAACAATGACGTGTCTTTACTAAGTTTGGCCATAAACTGTAATTCATAGCAATACAGAAATAATTCTGCTATTAAAGGGTCGCAATTAGTGCCCATAGGAATACCTACTACCTACTTAATATGCTTCTCCCGAAAGCATTTTGGCATATAGGTGTAAGAGCAAAGTCTGGTCAACTCGGAGTCTGAATAATATGTAGGGTTGGTCGACATGTCTTAAAGCGGACTGTTACCTAGTGAACTAGCACGTTAAAATTCGATTCAAAGTATCGGTCTGGTACAAAGCAGTTTTCTAATCATTTCACATGTTCACATCTTGATATGCATGTTATATTTGCCACTAGACGTGAAACATTAATCCACCCAACCATCAATTCTACAACATTTATGTTCACACATGTTTTTGTTAGGTTTAGTGCTGCTCATGTTTAACGTTTTTCAGCTGTTATGTGTTTTGTTCTTCGATGTATGTTTCTGCAAACCTAGCCTCCCTGGTATCTTCTTTTATTTTTATATGATACATCAAGATGACGGAAACTTCAGGAAAGCAGCTTCGGCGCGACATACAGTTAACTTTTTTCCTCCGTTTCTACTAAATACACAGTAACGAAAATTTAAAGATAGTGAAGCAAAATGCATTTATGCATACAATTTATCGATTACTTTTTGTATTCTTTATTTCCTCAATGTTTAAAACAATAGTTTTCCCTTGGCATAAATATAATTATATACCTACCGGAGTTGAAAAGATTTTTTATATCTGAAATAGAGCAGGTATTCGGCAAACACATCCCGACTCTAATTTCCATTCCTTTTGCTTTCGTTAACTGAAATAATATCATTTGAAATAAAGAAATATCATGCTATGTATTATTTTCATAATTAAAATTTAGGACAAAAAAGAAAGATTCGTAACCGGAAGAAACACCCCCCTCCCCCTTTTTTCCTTTTCCTGTGAATCTTTTAAAAACATGTGATCTGTATTTGATAAGTCATCCTCTTTATTTCTTCCATCTAAATGTTGTTATAAACTGCATGTTTGAAGGAACAATGTATTATTACAGCTAAACTGAAATTCAGATGTCAACTAGACAGACATGTTGCTTTCGTTGTTTGCATGGCTATTATATTCCCACAAACATAAGATTTAGGAAACATATTCCCCGTTTCAATTCTCAATTCCATGTTGAAATACAATGTTTAAAGACACATTTGAAGCCCGCCCAAAAAGGTAAAGTATTCTGTCATTACTGGAAATTAAAAGGAAATCAAAATAATGATAATAAGCAGAGTCTTAATATATGTTATAATACACTGCATAATATAAAAGTCCTAGATTAATAACTATAGTCAGCCGAAGTCATCATGTATCCTGCATAATATAAAAGTCCTAGATTAATAACTATAGTCAGCCGGAGTCACCATGTATCCTGCATAATATAAAAGTCCTAGATTAATAACTATAGTCAGCCGGAGTCACCATGTATCCTGCATAATATAAAAGTCCTAGATTAATAACTATAGTCAGCCGGAGTCACCATGTATCCTGCATAATATAAAAGTCCTTGATTAATAACTATAGTCAGCCGGAGTCACCATGTATCCTGCATAATATAAAAGTCCTAGATTAATAACTATAGTCAGCCGGAGTCACCATGTATCCTGCATAAATAATTTCACTACAAATGACAAAGTTAATCATTCTGTAATTTGTGGAATGTTTGAAGAAAACCCAAATCCTGTGAATTTGCATAACTTTTATATATGATCAAACACTTGACATAAAAAAAAATGTTGTAACAGCGTAATATAGAAAAAACAAGTTGTACCTTGAAAACTGTAAGAGTAAATATCCGGACAAACAATGTATCTTGTATGCTTAACTTACTCAAAAAATGACAGAGTTCAACATTCTGCCATTTGTGGAAATCTTAAAGAAAATCAAAATCCTGATTATAATATGCACATTATAAGTATATGTACTAACACCTTGCTAAATATAGAATACAAAAACTGTCATGTACACATGTCACACCATGCAACCTATATTGGACAGACGGATAGACGGACAGAGGTAACAAAAATCTGTTTACAGCAATTAAATCTCGTTGTTATTTCAAACATCAACAACGTTTGCTGTACGTGTTTTTGGATGCAATATTTATTATCTTACTATACTATATTGTAATGAACCATTTGGTTCGGAAAATACCACCAAACCATTCAAGAGTAAGGAGAGAAATACAAATCTTATGAATACACAGAACCCCGATCCAATCCTTTTTTGCTAAAAGAGTTCATTATTCCCTGTTTAATATCTACTAAAAGCATTCTATTTTACTATAATTTCCATTTTAGTCTGCGAATATCTGCATCAAAATTGATGTGGTCAAAATTAAAATTCCGCTATTGGTTGAAATTTTCTTTTCGGAACGCATTGAATGACGTCAGCGGTCTTCGGAATAACCCTCAACTGACAGAAACATCTAGAAAGAAATGTATAGGCTATCGCTTCAAAAGTAAATCGAACCAACTTAAACACTAACGTATTGGTGAGAACTTTTTTCTTTCAATTCTGAAATGGGTTACAAAAATAAATCTATAGTTAGCTGGAATGTTGTTTGAATATCGAGATTACAGAAAATCTAGTTATGTATTTTAAAAAGCTCCATGACTTTGGAAAATGTAATAATGATAATTAAAGTGTTTTATGATATTTTAAATATAAAAATCATTACTTACTGGATTGGAAATAGATGCAACATAAAACTTGGCAAGACAGTATTCTCCGTGGAATTCATCAGCTGTTATACCAATGCATTCGTCATAATCACCAAGCCAGGCAAATTTTCCACCAAGTAAACCTGCAGGAGGCTTTCCCAAAGCATCCAACACTGAAAATGAAAACTGTACCAATTATATTCATATTAAGTAAGTAAACATCAGTTTACCTCTCTTGCTAATCGTTAAAGACATTTCAGCTCTGTGAACAGGTACATTTTCATATCACCTGTAAAATCATATATATCCTGTACAATTAAAAAGGAAAAGTCTGTATGCAAGTAAATTACATATTTATTTAAAAAAAAACATTTGAAGGGTGATCATTTGATACATTTGGAATAATACATGCCGTTGACATAAAAAGTATAACTTTATTTTTCTTTTCATTTTAATGTACGAGGGTTGGAATGTGTTTACAGAATAGAGAAATGTGTAATAAAAAACAAATATAAAAAAAATAATGGATTTTTTTTATATAAAGAGTAAGAAAAATGTGCGAACAAAATTGAGAAAAATGACATAATTTGTTTTAAATCAGAAAAGAAAAACCCCACACACACCTCCATTCCAGACCCTCTTGCATGAAAGGTAAATTTCAGGGTCAGACATTTCTTATCAAATATATGTCAACCGACGTATAGAAATTACTTCATAATCCATGTTATATAATGATACAGAAGGAAGGGACTTATAGAATTACGGAAGTGTGACTATACGACAGATGGAACATGTCATGCATGTGTTCCGTAACACAATCTCGGAATGGAGATGTGGGATTTACGACACAAACACTGAAATACTCCTACAGGACAACCGATAATGTTTTGATAATACGCAAGTGTCTATGCTAGTTGTCAAACTATAACGTTTCTCAGTTTGTCACTCTAGAAACGTTGTGTAGAATTTTAACAGAAACGATCAAAGACCTGCCATCAAAACCAAATGTCCCACATGAAAAAAAAGATAGATAACAAAGAACAACTATTCACCATGCTCCTAAAATATGACACAAATGACGATGTGGTGGTTAAACTTTTTTTTTTAGATCTCAACTCTTCCCCGTTAATATCGGTCTGTGGAACGTGCAATAAAAGATCAAACAAGAAAAGCACAGTAATCAAAACGTACAGTGATAAACAACTCATACCAACTCAAAGTAGCGAGCGAGATCGAAGCTCAAAACCAATATGGAATTTACTGACCCTATATATATCGTATTGGGTCACTTGCACACTGTGTAACGAATTTATCTTAACGACTATCTTAACATGTGGCATTTAGACTAGTGGCCTATCAAATGATCAAGTCTTCAATATAAAGAACCTATACTTCCATTGGTCTATACAAAAACAAATGCCAACAACAACAACTACATGTAGTTAGCTTTCAATGTATTTTCTGCATTTATTTCAATCGTTTATCAACAACTTCTATAGGTTGCACTTTGTAAATACAGCTGTTTCTCAAACCACGCCTCTTTTGGGGAGATATATAATATTCATAGATATGTTAATTTGTTAATGTACTGGTTCCCATTTATGATCTCTGTGTTTCCTCTCATAGAGACATCACTTGGGAATGTAACCAGTATAGAAAAACATGGTAGCGCCTAAATTTTAATTCTTAGGAGGTCCAAATATGAAGGTAAGGGTAGTATAGAATTTTAGTATAAGTTTAAACTCTTAGAAGTTCTGGGCATATAAATGTTGAAAATATGCCGCACAGCCCTATATTTTGACCTTTGAATAAAATAGTAGTGCATATAAACTTTCCGTTCTGGGATATAATTTTTCACGAAACTTCATAGTAAAAGTGTCACAGTTTTAGCCGCAAAGGGAGTTCCTATGGGAAATTGCATTGTCTATATTTACAGAATTGCAACCTTCATCTGTTGTCCGGGTGAAACGTTTCAGATTTTCCTCAACGCCGTGTTGTTTTTATTTAGGGACGTAACACCACTACTAACCGTGTATTAATATAAACCACGCGTACTAACCTCATATTAAATATACAGGGTCTCCATGTGCACGCGGTCGCTTTTAAACAATGATATTCCTAGAAGATTAAAACGCTATATGCTGCTACGAGTAAATGGGAAGTTTGCTATCTAATAATTGAATTCATTTCTATCTTAAAATTTTCGTTGTCTAGCAAGTCTTACTTTCGATTTTTTAATTTTCTATATAAAATATATAAACATATTGCCTTTCCTTGGTAAATGTACATTTTTGTACAATTAAAAATAACAATAAATCTATTTTACATTCATATACATGTGTGAAAGGTATAGGCGAAATAAGGCCCAAAATTTAGCCAAAATTTGAAAATTACAAAATATAATTTTAAGTTTGCCTTTACATGACTTTTTTAAAATGCGGCTTGTCATCGAATGTTGAATTGCCATGAGCAACACGACGGATGTTACTAGTGGAACAGGAACTGCATACACAACAGGAGTACGTACTTGAGTTTACCCTTTTTACGGGGTTCGTGTCGGTCAAGATCTAGTTTTCTTTAAAGTATTTTGTGAACTTTTGGTCTATTTATTTTTGGTCATCTATTTCCCCCGAAGTGAGTCTTTTGATTGCCCATCTGAACAATCTAGATTTATTTAAAGTTGTTCAGATAGTAAAAACAAATTTCACATTTGACAAGTTATAATCAAGTTTGCATAACTTGTAAAATGTCCTACTTTTCCTTGTCTTGTATTAACTAATGAGTATTGTAAATTTGGACTGGAAAGGTATGTACACATTTGGTGAAATTACGTAAAAAGCTTAAAGAAAAATTTTCTTATTGGATATTTAGTTTCTAGGCTGTGCGGGATGTTTCCACAAAGGGAATAAAAAAAACTTATAATACAAATGTGTATTTACCTTCTTATTATGATGACATTTATCATGCGGACGTCATAACATTGAAAATCTTGTCTTATTTATTTTTATCTTTTGATTTAATACATTTCCCTATATCATGTGCAACTTTTAAGTACTTCTAAAACAAACCGTTTTCTTGGACCAAAATCGGACCTTAATATCGGTCTACTCGAACAAACGTTCAACACTGTATTTATTCTCGGTGATACATGTTTAACATGTTTTTCATTTTAGTTATGTGTGATATAACATTTTTCACTAAATAAGTTAACTTAATTACATGATAGTTATTAAAAAACTGATCATTATCGTGATATATGGACTGCCCAAAGGACAGTGGTATTGACTAAGCCAGCGATAATGACTGAGCCGTAGGCGAGAAAGGTCATTATTGCTGTCGCAGTCAATACCATTGTCTTACGGGCAGTCCATGTATAACGATAATGACCAGTTCTTCAATAACTATTATGTTTATTTCATTGAGGAACCATGTTTTTAAAAATTCTCATAAATTCAAATTGTTCAAAACAAACTCGAGTTATTGTACGATTTCTATAGGAAAGAGTGAAGACCAGTCATAGTGCTAATTATAAGTCACTGCCATTCATTTAAGTGCAATTTTTCAGTATATGAAAACATAATAAAGTTTTCTATAATTTTATAATTAACGAAAATTATGGTAAACAATTCAACAACTTCAATATAAAATTGAAATCAGGAAAATGTTATATTAAAGGGACATCTCCCTAAACAGAGAAACCACGCCCCACCGGTCATTAACATGTAAAAGTCTGTTAACGACCGGTTTTCTGGTCCGATTTTTTCTGTTAACGACCGATAGAAATTATTACTGAAGAATAAAGAATGTCATGTGGCCCCTTGTTATCTAATAAGAGAAGCTAATTCTTAACCGATATGAAATAAAGGCTAATATAAAAAAGTCATGTTTCACATTTAAGGTATATGTTATACAACATGTTAACAAATTCAAGTTATAGATCATATAACATGTTTCACATTTAAGTTATGATATATTTAAAGTTAATTCACCAGACATAATTCTCAAATAAAAATAGCTCAAAAATAAATTAATGATCTGGCAAACCATGACATAAGATTAAAACTTTACTAAGGACTGTCATATTATAACTTGGTACAACAACTTTCAAAAACAAATAAAATATTCCGATGAGATGAATTACTTCTATTATCAATTTCATTCGTATTCTACTTACTTTGCATAGCCCATTGTTTTCCTCCAAATAATCCTCCAAGAATACTTTGAGTATGGTTCAAGCAGAGTGCATTCACCTTAGGTAAGGGTGGGGCTGTACTGGTTATCACTGGAGAATAAGAAGGAGTCACTGTTACGGGTAGAACTGTTGTTACCATTGACTCTGTGGTTACGTGAACAGTTGCTGTATCCTTTGCAAGTGTGGTATCACTTTGTTCAGGAGTTGCATAAGCCGTTGTAGGCAAAGAATTAATATCTGTGTTCTGGTTTAAAGTCGAAGTGACATTAAAACCATTAACATTAGTAGTATTTCCAATTATAACACTATCAGATAGTTCTGAGAACTTGTCCAACTCATCTGAAAATGTCTGAAGATTGTCTAATATTGTCCGTACATTCAGGGCTTTATTCATTGCATTGATATCTTGAAGTAAAGCCGTCTGGTTTACATGCCGTGAATATCCTTTCAATGTTTGATAACTATTTTGTATTATGTTATGATAATTATCCTCTGAAGCAACTGAACATTTGAGTAGTAGTAATAGGAAACAGTAGACATTCATCTGTGCCATTGTGTTGTACAGCTCTATGAAATCAACGGGGACTTTTTCAATCAACTCCAAGATAATAAACCCTGCTACCCAAGATTTTCGCAATATATTGGTAGAAAAACACGTCCCATATTTTCACTGGACTAGGTAAATACCAAATTTGTCATCGCCTAGATGTTATCAAAGATATAACCCAGTGTACTTTGAATCTTAGGTTATATCCAACGTAATCCTTTTGGGATATGTGATGTAATTCCATGAAACGGGGACATTTTATGTTCGAGCCTTGTTTATGTTTAAAGTTCAAAAAACCATACTCTTTACAAATATCTTAAGTCGAAGCAAAATCTAAAATATTATTATTTATGAAGTATTAATTTGAAAACTTCAAATAAATGCTTTGTAAGGAAATATTACAAAAAAACAAATTTCAATGAATGAACATGCATGCATATTTACACTGTGAATAAAGATTGGCTTGACGTCAAGTGGCAGATATTTCATGCATATTCTTAAGACATAAGAGAAATGTGGTTTGTAAGTCGATTAACGACACACAAACATACACACTCTTATTATATAGAGATAGCTACAATATCAATTTATCAATAAACTGAGAAGTGGACTCTACTTAAAAAAGACAACAACTGGACGAAGTTCTAAATTTAAGTCAAGAAAAGTTATGAATGAATTAAACACAGATCTGCCATTAACATAAAATTCCGTTAAAAGACCAAAACATTGCAATATAATTAAGGACAACCATGGAAAAGGTTCATTGCTCATGACATGGGTATGAGGCTGGTCGGACTAGATATTTGTAGCACCTCTTATGTATCTCATCAGTGAAATAACAAAAGGCACATAAACATTTCTTTGGTATTTGTTTCGTTGGGTTGCTGACTATTTGACGTTTCTCCATCCACATCTCCTTTTATTCATATGAAAGAACGTACCAAAGAAAATAACACTTTGTAAATTGGTGATGCTGAAGCTAGTAAACCAAAAAATGTGGCCTATCACGAACTTGCATCGGAGTACCAGTAAAGAATTCCTAATATGGTTTATCGACATTTATCAAAGATAGTTGTCTGAGTAAATGGACAATTATGATAAATCGAAGATTACACCTGACCTCAACACTAGATATCATCACTGTCATAAGTTTGATAAGAGAATAACTAGATTTACACAAAGAAAAAAATACACATTTACAGCGCATTTAAATATACCATTGAAAGTTTATTATCTATTTTGTACTTCCTATACCCGTTACCAGGGGGAAATTGACCTGTCCGTGATCCAAAAATGAGAGCACGAATTCATGTACGCAATGGTCTATCACTCAGCCAATAAATGACAGACACTATGTTAAACTCATTCAATCATACCGTAAGGATTGTCTACTTAATTAACCTTAAGCTATATAAATATAAAAACAAGGAGATGTGGTAGGATTACCAATGAGCCAGCTATTCACCAAAGTTCAAATGAAGTGGATGTAAGCAATTTAATTCTAAAAGTACTTTTAATAGGGGTTATTCTAAACGCAATGTGTACTTACAAAATATGTTCAAATATGGAGGTTGATAAGAAAAACAATCCATCTCATTGAAATATTTAGTAATTATACAGTTGTACATGTAAAAAATAAAAGGAAAGCGACTGTTATATAAATTTGAAGGAATCTAAATATTTAAAATTTAAATTTTTAGTACAAAGTGTGTAAACATATAATACTGTTAACTCAGCAAATAAAATGAAAACTAATAAATACAGTTATCATTTGCTTGATATAAAAATTAAGCGGCGTTAAAAAAAAAAAACGTCTTTCTAACCTGGGAGCTATTTTTACCATTACGGAAAATTACGCCCTCCCTTTCTTCATACCCTTGTTCCGTCCCTCTACTTTCACTACCGTGCAAGACCTTCATGGGTAGTAAAGGTCGTTAAAAAAAAAAACCCTCGTCGTCGTCCAAGCATTATTTGAAACAGTATTCATTATCATTGAATTGTTTTCTCGCACGAGTGTTTTTGTTATCTGCTATATCGGTAAAATAGAGTTAAATGCTTTTTCTTATCTGTTTTTTATTGTTCTACTGAGTAGCATTTATTGTTTCATTTAAAGTGTTTAAAAGGAAGATTTTTGAGTGCTACAAAAACTAATCAAGCAAGCAACATGCTCCAGCAGTGTTTGTCCCAAGTCAGTAACCTGGTCAGTGGTTGTCCCAAGTCAGTAACCTGGTCAGTGGTTGTCTTTAGTCATGGTTAAATGTTATTTGTCCTTTTTAAGGAATATAGTGTTGATGGCAGATCTTGTGTGGTCACTATAACATGTTTTAACTACTTTTTTTATACATAGGGTGTTTTACACCTTGACATACTATTAGTTTAAAGAAACTTGTATATTTGTTGAAAAACGTACGCCCTCTTCATTACTTTTTTTAATTATTTTGTGTCGTTTCGTTGCTGTCTCATTGTCATTTATAAAATTGATGCACCTGAACCTAATATTCTTACTAATATATCATGGTAATATATAAAGCTTTGGCGGGGTCAATATACCGTTATTTACACATCAGACCGTACTGGTTACCGGAACTTTGGGTTATGCAAACCAGGTATTTCATATCTGAGAAACAGGTAATATATGCCCTCCTTTCTAGATGTCATTCACAAATTTTTGTACTATTCAAAATTATCAGTCAAAATGTGTTTTACAAGGATCATCAGTCATTCGTCTTTCAGTTGATACTTAAATTACCAAAATATATTCTACATAATTTGATATTTACACCTATGCGTAGGAACTATTTTGTTTTAAATATGTACTACTTTACTATGTTCTTTTAGACCGGGTCCGAGTGGGTGTTGTTACATTTTACAAAGTCTACCCGAATTATTGGCCCCATACATACGTTGTTTCCTGCATGCCAAGTTCTAACATATATCTCGATATGCCCGTTGGTTGTCTTAATGTTTGTATTGTTTTTCGAACGCTTCAGTGTGATTGTCGGGCTAAGTTATGACCGTAAATGTTTGTTTTGTTTTTCGAACGCTTCAGTGTGATTGTCGGGCTAAGTTATGACCGTAAATGTTTGTATTGTTTTTCGAACGCTTCAGTGTGATTGTCGGGCTAAGTTATGACCGTAAATATTTGTATTGTTTTTCGAACGCTTCAGTGTGATTGTCGGGCTAAGTTATGACCTTAAATGTTTGTATTGTTTTTCGAACGCTTCAGTGTGATTGTCGGGCTAAGTTATGACCGTAAATGTTTGTATTGTTTTTTCGAACGCTTCAGTGTGATTGTCGGGCTAAGTTATGACCGTAAATGTTTGTATTGTTTTTCGAACGCTTCAGTGTGATTGTCGGGCTAAGTTATAACCGTAAATGTTTGATTCCTTTGCCAGATTTATTTTATTGATATTACTTCATGGCTTTGTTCTTCAATTCACAGTTGTGGCGTAATCTTCAGTTTGCAAAGAATTCCCTTCAAACCTGTGCTAGGTGCCATCTTAAACTTGCAGTGAGTTGAGAGTTTTATGTTCCGTGTTGAAGGCCTCACTGTGACGTTGAGAAAAACATGCAGAAAAAAAAAGCGCAGTTCATTTGCTTTTTGTGTTTTTTTACTGTGCATTTACTGATTTCGAGTCATGGATTGATATCCCATATCCTTTCTTTGCTATTCTAGCAAATATTGTTAAAAGACTATCCACCGTAATGTGAATTACAGTACTGTTGCCGATGTGTAAGAAAATATGATTTCTATATCAACAGAACGTGGAGTTTTCATCCAAGTGCTGTTCTTTTAGGGATTTTTTTTTCATATTTCTGTAGTGTATTGCGTCATGATTTGGTCCACCAACGGATATCCTTTTCATTAATATTCTTTGATACCGCATATACTTATAATGCATAAGTTGTTGAACTGTATATGTATTTTCTTCGTTTGTAATCGCTATATTTTTTTAATTACGTGCTTTACCAAGATACAAGATTCAAGATTTTATTCATACAAGTGTACAAGAGGATATAAACTTACAAACATAAGACGATACGTATAGCGAGACATGACTGACAAAACACACAGTGTGGTATAAAAGACCTGTACTGCAATTATTTGTTTTTACATTTTTTTTTTGTACAATTTCTTATTTCACTGATTGATATAAAAAGGGGTAGTTTAGTACTCGCGAAGCTAGGTTTTCGTCACATATCTCCACCTGTATTTGTTGTTTTTTTTAAATTTATTATCTATTTAATAAACGGTAAATATTTTACAAGTCATCTAGTTATTCATAACATACGTAATGTTTATTTTTAAAGTAGATATAAAGCCGTATCTTATATTTCGGTCAAATATTATCACGAAATTACATACTGTGTGCTATTTATTTTTAATGATGAAATACCCATCGTTTTGGGACTTATCTGGGTGCATAATTTAATTTTACTAGACTCGTATGTGACCTTGTACTTATCATTATTTGAATGACTTTACTCGACAAGTTTTACTACAAGTGCAGACTAGGCTGACAAGTTTTACTACTAGTGCAGACTAGGCTGAGTTAGGTTCTGGTTTTTGAAATCTACGGTTCAAACTAAATGATACCTTAAAGAACCAGTCACGTTCAAACTTAATTTATCTAGAACGCAGTTTAGCACTGTTCAATTCACATATAGTTTACACATTTGTGAACGAAAATACATGGTAACTATATTCTCAAGAGTTTTGTAGACGTGAATGAAGCGAAGCACTGGTTAGCACACAACTTGCATTTCAGACTTTTTATTCAACTTTTTTATAGCATAAACGATCATATAGCTTCATACAATCAAACAGAATCTTTTAAATCTTTACTCTTTTCTCGGTATTTTTTTTGCATTTAAACAAACCAATGAATGAAGGATATAGATTATGAATACCATCACATATTTCCTTGTTCACTTGTACCGATATCTAAAGCGTAGATAGACCTTATTGATTTCTGCTTGTCAATGAAAAGTTGAGCGAGCCGTCATTGATCTTACGTCAGCAACGCTTAATATTTTTATTAGGTTATATTA